AAAGAATCAAACTGAGCCAAGGAGGGTTCTTTCTGAGAACAGTTGCATCTAATTTTTAATGTTGTTATCCACCTAGTAACAAATGTTCAAAGATTAAGATTTTTTTTTTCATTTGTAGGAGTACATCCGTATCCTTCAACCGAATGGATGCACTCTGCTGTATGATGCCCTACGACGTGGGTCGTGTGAGTTGGAAAAGGTCAAAAAGACGTTTCCAGATTGTCGACTTCGCATCATGTGCCTCACTGATGGAAATGATTCTGGGTAAACTTCCATTCTATGTGCTACACTACCACCTTTACATATACAGTAACTACAAAAATAAATATGAAATGCTTAGCATACCTTTAGTTGAGCAGACATTGACTCATGCTAATTTGTAAATGCGATGGTTGATTCTGTAATCCCTCAGTGTTTATCATCTATCTCAATCAATTCTCTAAATGGTTAGGGGGTTAGGATCAACCATTCTAATACACACGTATTTTACAGAATAACATTAAGTAAAGCTGTTTTTCATCTGTTAGTTGTATTGTCTTTCATACTCTGTCAACTACAAAGTGTTGTTTGTCATTTGGGGGCAGATGAGGTCCTAATCTAAACGTTTTCACCTTCCCACAGATCCTCAATAGAGCCAGTTGCAGTTACAGCCAGGCTGTTAAACTCAAACATCATTGTGGATTCAATCCTTCTTGGAAATGTAAAGAACAATATGCTGCATGGAATCAGCAATGCAACAGGTATGCTTTCATACTTGAGTGTAGTAAGCGGATCTATCTATAAATTCCAAAGATCTGTCTGCCTGTGGCTCACATATCTCCAGAATCGTTCATACTATCAGCTTCATGCTTGGCATGTGTATTCTTGAGGGCCTGATATCACACTAAATTCATCAGTGAGCTTCCACTGATGAATTTAGTGTGATTTGGACATGTGAGTGAATCCACCCATTTGTCTGGATCCACTCCCAAATTTAAAGGGTTCATGCTCCACCCATCCACAAAATTTCATGGATAATAGTTTTTGACAGACGGTCATCAACTCCTCAGTGAAGGTAACAATATCCAAAAGTCACATTTTCTAAACCGCTGCTTTCCCTAACTTTAACACTCAGATATTTACGTCATCTTTATACCACACATGCATTTTGCTTCCAGGTGGCTGCTGTTTCAATCCACAGACAATCAAAGAGGGTTTGAAGCTCTTTGAGATCGAGACAGTCCTGTCTTTGGAGCAGAGGAAACCCAAGAAAAAACTTGACGCATCATCTATCAGTGAGGTCAGTGGCATTATGAAAATACTCTAAATTAAATCAAATCAACCATAAAATGTTTCATCGTGTAATCTTTGATTTTATACCTGTTATTCCCCTTTATAGCGTGATTTAACAGGTATCTTTGCAACTAACGGATATGATAGGTATCCAGATACATCCTTGCCAACCCAGTTAAGCAACAAAGTGAGCGGGACAGAGAGGTGAGATTAAATTAACATTTATATTTTTAAGTGAAATCAAATGATTAAGTATCAAACTTACGCAAACACATATAGTTTTTGTTGATTGTTTGCAGACATACGGTAAACCAAAGTATTTCACACCCCACAGCCCAACAGGGTCATCTGACCCTTGTGAAATGTTAACATTAACAATGATGGAAGACCTTTTAAGATAAGAGTGTTAGATTGAAGCATTATCTCATCAAAATAGTGCTCTGAAAAAGAAGCTTCTGGAGGCGAAGGATGGACGCTTCATGGAAAAGGACAGACGTCTCCTGGAGGAGCTGAAGAGCCTGCACTGTGACCCTCATCCCTTCTTCAGAGTCTTCACATCAGAGTCAGACTTCAGTAGGTGGCGCTGTCTAATGCTGCTGAACAGGATAATGTTCAGTTGATAAAGTCATGAAGGGACCGCCTGTGATTCCAAAGTAAAATGCAGTCTTTTTCTATATTTTTATTTTTAATCTCTTCAGCATTCTGGAGGATTCTCATGCAGGGCCCTCCCGACACGCCCTATGAGAAAGGAGTGTTTGAGCTATACTGCCAGTTTGGTCCTGAATACCCAGTGAAGCCTCCACTTGTTCGCTTTGTCACACAAGTATCCTGCCAAAACACAACTAAAAACAACTAAAAAGTTATGACAGGCTGCCAAAGCAGCTGCTCAAAGTCACAACTGTGACAGATACAGTTACTTTAGTAAACTCCACTGGTGTGTGGTTAATATCAAAATGAAGGCCAAAGAAGATTAGTGTTTCTGCGTCAAGTCATGAAATAATGTTGTAACAACTAAGTATCTGTGATCTGTGATAAGTTATAGTGATGACTCTGGAGTACCTAGAAGACAGATCATCAGCATGTTACTGGCGTCATGGCTAGTGTGATCCCAACATGGTTTCCAGTTATATCAAGAGTCAACTGTGTTATTTTTAACTTATTATCCTAAATATTTCTTTGTCTTGTATATACTGTACACGTTTTGCTTGCAAGATTTCCTTAACAGGATTACAGGTGTACCACTGCAACATCAACAGTGTGGGCCGCATCTGCCACAGCATTTTTGACCGCAGCTACAATGCTCACATTACCATGAGAGACATCTTTGATGCTGTGTATGGACTGCTCATCATCCCTGAGCCTGATGACCCACTGGACAGGTGAGTTATGCATATTAATAAACTTAACTCAGAGATTTGAAGTATCTGATGTGATATTGAACTTCTTTTTGAAGCATTTTGGCTGAGGAGTTCCTGACAAACCGTGAGAAGTACATGCTGGAAGCGAATAAACACACTGAGCAAACTGCAGGAAAGTCACTGGATGAAATGGAGAAGGTGAGTGAACTAACATATTTAAAGTTGTGGTGGATTCAAACTTTTTATATAAAATCAACATATGTGGTGTCCGTCTCTTGAATGTGTCTTGTCTCTTTATTTTATTTTAAAGGAATTGGTGGATCATGTGCAGCAGTTTATACCCCAACATCTAATCTGTCCACTCACCAAAAAGATGTTTGTTGATCCAGTGAAAACGGTGTACGGCACCGTGTATGAACGCAAAGCCATCGAGGGACACCTCAAACAGTGAGTTCATTTACTACTGATGGAAATAGTTACCTGCACCAATGTTGTTAAATGTGTGTTTATTGGTTTGGATGTGTTTGTTTTCCATGCCAGCCCTCTGGTAAAACCTCTGGAGAATGTCTGAGTGAGCCCATGTGAAATACAGCAGGATATTGCTCATAGAATTTACAGCGTGCAAGTGGGCTGTTTCAAACACACAATAGATGCAAAACAAAATAATACAAATATATCAGGAAGAGAACGAGGTGTCGTGTACTCCGCTCCAGAGATTTTGCTCTTGTGACTGTGTCTGAGCCGGAACATGTGCTGCTCCATTCTTCATACAAACTAGACTTGTGTAGAATTTATCTGCCTTGGCGGAGGAATGCCCTCTACTGAGTGATATTCGAATGAAATGTGAGCTACTGCTGCTACTGCTTTAACAACACCATTGCTTTTTGCGTTTTTAAACATAAAACTACATAACTTCCATCTCCCACAATAAATCTCAGCTATCGATCTCATCTGCCACGTTGCCATGTACTGTAATTTCACAGTTCATTGTATACACTCTTGCAGACACCAGTATGACCCGACAGCTGGCCCAGGACACAACCTTGATCTTAACCACCTAGCAGCCGACTGGAACATGAAGAAAATGGTGATGGATCATCGATCTCGTCAAATTCAGTGACTCTGTTGATCATCATTATCACAGTGGTTCGACCTGTGTTTAATGTACATGAGACCTTATTGATTTGATGATGAAGAAGCTTTAGTATGTTTGCATAAGATAATCTCTGAAAATCCCCTTAAAATTACTCGATAGAAAGCCTGTCTGTTTGTGTTTCATTCCTTATAAATGTTTTCCATAGTTTGAATTGACAAAGTTAAATAGATGCAGTTCTAGAAACGTGTATACACCAGATTAATAAATGTAATGTAGCTTATAAGTGTTTCTTAGTGCGGATAAAAGTGAATCTTCAGTTTTTGCAGTTATAGTAATTTTGCCCTAAGATGAGCACTGTATGGACAATCGTAGTAATTTTCCTTCCTCTGCTGTCTGGTGATTGTTTTCCAGTTTTTTCTTTGTTCCTATATTCAATTCATATTCAAATTCAGTAGACTTTATTGTCATTGTACTCTGTGACATTGCTAAATGTGTGAGTTACCTTTTAGAGTGGGGAATAAAAGTGTGTTAAGTTTGTCTTGATGGAGATTCCACAACAATAAACCATTTTAGAAGGACACAGCCTTTCTTCTCTTTTACAATAACCAATATTTTCATTGAACTTTTATATACGGTCTAAAGTAATCTAAATACATTAACACGCTCCTAGCATCAACTAGCATCAACTCACACCTGAACTATGAACTAAAATACTTTTACTATTTGACTATCAAAACCTAGTTTTAATATTACAATTTCAATATTTTAGTTGATAAGAGGCTTACTCGTGAATATTTATAGGAAGGCCCACTTGTGGTTTACAATACTTTTTATAATTATACTTTTAAGCCAGGACAAATAAACCTTTACTTATAAAACTCGTTTTTATTTACGCAATAAACTGTTTCCAGAAACAAACCTCTCATTAATATGTTTAATAGATTACAATATTAACTTCAGTGGTAGATAATTATGGGGAAGTGGGCAACCAATCAGAGCCAAGGATTCTGTTCTACGTCACGTCCTGATAACAAGACGCGCCTCAGTCGGCTTCAAAATAAATGTCCTTACATTTTAAACTTAAAAAAAATAAAACTCAGTACACTCACTCTTGATCCCAAATGATTAATGTTGGCATGAAGATGAATTCAAACAGAATCCTGCTATTCAAATTCTGTACGTTTCTAATGTTGATTGAACGTCGAAAACCCCAGTTCTAAATAAATATAATGTAATTATGTATTTATTTTGAAAACCGTTTCCGGAAGAAGATTTCCTCTGTTATGGAGCGCGTGTGGCGGAGTGTGTTCAGGTGTGTGTCTGAGTGTGTGTAGCTGAGTGTGTCTGTGTGTGTGTCTGTGTGTGTGTGTGGCTCCGCAGGTTTGAGTAGAAGTATCAGGAATCCGCAGGTGAGTGTTCGTGGATTCAATCATTTACTCGTATTATTTCCGTTTGTTTACGTCAGTTGCGTAAAGTCTGAGATAAAACTGCTGCCTCAGCAGGTAACTTCACTTCCGACCTGACATGAGCTCAGGCTTCGCCTCTGGTTTAAGACATTTGAGTTGTTGTTTACCTCTGAAGCTTTGTTCAGAGGTTCAACCAGTTTTCACAGAGTTTTCACCAGTTCCTGATTTTCCTGTAGAACCTGTTTACACCTTCACATGTGTTTACAGCACTGATCCTGAAGAGTCATTGATTTGTTTGTAGTTTCACTTCATGTTTGAAAGAATCAGCTCCACATGAACACACAGGATTCACACTGCAGCTTCAAGTGCTTCAACACTACTTCTTACTTTTGGCAGAAATACTGACTTACACAATACACAAAACTAAAATACACCTGCATACAAATGTATCACTGGTTTTGGACTACAAACTGCTACCACTGTCTCATAAGTTGAATTAAAGCTGATATATGTGAGTTTAATAATATTAACAACACATTTTTGTATAGCACCGTTCAAAAGACAGTTACAAGGTTATTTACAATTTGAAAATCCAAAATAAGAAACCATTTAAAGGCAAAGTGAAGATCACACAGCAATAGAGCACAGAAACAGATAAGAAAGAAGTTTCTATAAGAGAGTTAGAGAGAAATAAAAGCTATATAATGAGTATATAAGAGAGAGTTGAAAGAGGAGAAGGAGTTTGAGGTGGTAATTTCTTTTTGATTGATGATATTATTTTTTTCCAACTAGGGAACCTGCTCCCCAGATATATTTTCTTCCAGCTGCCAGTTAAGAAAACACGGAGCAAATTAACCAAAACCATGCAGCTGTCCACACTGAAATTAATATAAGATAATATCAAGAGCATTATAATTTTATCTTTTTAAAAATGCTTTACAAATATATTGACATTTACTGGCTTTGGTTAATGTCATATATTTGCCTAAGCTTAACTTCTGATGATGAAGCAGATTTTATCCTTAATATTTTATTGTGACTGTTGACAAAAAAGCCTCAGGCCCATTGGTTTCAACTAAAAAACACAAAACTCAAATATTAATTTCCTTTAAAGGAAAAAAAAAAAAGGTTTTTCACAAACGTCACTCAAAGGAGTAAATAGTACCAGACCAATATGGACCAATATGGAAAAGATGTTGGTCTCACACATCACAGTGACCCCACTGCTCCCTCTGCTTGTTTATGTCCTTTCTAGAGAGATGTGGTGGCTGCTGTGGGTGCTCGGCGCCTTGCTGGCTCTCTTCTGCAGCCTGGATGTGTGGTACTTCCTACGAGTGGCGGCAACGGTGGCCCGGGCCTGGTTCCAGCCTCCTGTCTGGGACGTCACAGCAGAGCAGGTCCTGACAGGCCGGGTCACTCCCCATGACATCGACATGTGCCACATGAACAATGCTCGTTACCTCCGCGAGTGCGATTTCGCCCGCTTCTCTCTCTACACACGCAACGGCGTGTTCAAGGCCGTGCGAGCCCTCAGAGCTTCGATGGTGGTGGGGGCCACCACCATTCGTTACCGAAGAGCTCTGTGTATAGGTGAGGGCTACGAGCTGCGTAGTCGGATCGTGACTTGGGATGACAAAGCCTTTTTCCTGGAGCAGCGATTTGTTTCAACAAAAGACGGCCTGGTGTGTGCCGTCATGTACTGCAAGCAGAGTGTGATCCGCTGCAGCCCGGACAAGATCATGCAGCATCTTTGCAAAAGAAAGGTAGGAGAGCAGGCCTCAATACAAATACAAATTAAACACTGTTAAGGTTTTAATAAATCCTTTGCTCACTGAAGGTCATTTGCTCTTTGCAGGTGGAGTGCCCTGAGTTTCCAGAGGACCTTCAACACTGGGTCAACTTCATCTCAGCCAGCAGCCAGGCCCTCAGGGCAGAGAGCGGACTAGAGGAGAAGAACAAATAAAGCTGTGAACAGGCAGCGATCAAGATTCAAAGTCTTCTGAGAGAAATATTTGCGGCTGTTCGCTGCTCGACTGTAACATGCTTGTGCCTACTTTACTCTTGATATAGAGCTTTACATAGATGCCAACACTAAAAAAACGACATACCTCAATAGAGAAGTAACATGATTATATGTTTTCATGTACCATATAAGCATTAAAACAAATGAATTTTGAAATCTATTGACGCACGTTTATGACCTCACTGTACAATACACAGTTAATACACAGGCAATACAACCATTATAGATGTAGAGTAACAATAAAATGAAACAGATGTCAAATCAGTTAGTGTCACTCTAATGGAATATGCAACGTAGAAACCAGGTGTACAGTAACTTATCTTTTAAACCAGAAAAATAAAAGGATTCACATTATCAGTAGCTTAAAAGTAAATGAACAGTGAGCTTTAATATTACATTGGCAGTTGAATATACCTGGTATGAGAAAAGGCTGACACCATCAGCTGCTGGCAGGATGAATACTGAACACTGAGCTGTGCACGTACTGTATGTTTAAAACGTAACTTTTATTGTGCCTTTGTGTCGCTATCGCAGTTGCTATTTGTCCAAACTCAAGCTGTCACTGATGCATCATGGGGATGTGATGCATTCAGTCAAAACAAATCCATCGTCCAAACTAAGGTTCATTCATTCATTGAAAATAATCAAATCCAAAACAGAAAAAAAACAATCATGGCCAATCAATCCAGCTGATTCTTATTAAATAAAAAATATGCAGATTATGTGTTTTGTTGAGCACTGTCTAAAGGAGAAGGTCTGTCACTTTTGGACAGACAATAAAACCCTTCTCTCTGTCTGCCTCTCTATATCTATCTACCTATTAATTTATCCATCTATCCTTCTATCTGTCTCTTTGTCTATCTATCCATCTATCCTTCTGTCTTCTATCTATTCATTTATCTATCTAGCCTTCTATCTATCTGTTTGCATACAGTGCCACCCAGTGGCTGACAAATGCAGAAATAAAATAAAATAAAAACACATCTTTAGAATGTAGCGAGTATTAATATATATTCATATTGAATACATAAATATACCAGGATCATAAAAACCAGCAAATAAAAAAATACCAAACCACAATAATAATAGTTATAATGACGATAATGATGATGACTTCGTAACCATGCCGACACGGCAACCAATGAGATTTCGTGTCGTCACCGAGCACCCGGAAGTCGCGTAGATTCATTCCACCGGTTTCTTCAAGTTGCAGCAGCGTCGCATCTCATGGTCGCTGTGAGTCCGGGGCGCACGGTAGGTTTCTGCCACCTCAGAGACACGCGTCCGAGTCTCCGCGTTCACAGCCTGAAAGCACACATCGGTAGAACGAGAGCTGAACCCGGACGTGGTCTGCGTTTCACCGAGGCCACAGTCCGCCCGCAGCTAGCGGCTAAGCTAGCAGATTTGTCTGTGACAGCAGGTTGACTGGAGCAGCGTTAGCTCCACAGTCCTCAAGGTTGAAGTGAGTTATCATGCAAGTCGGATGCTTCCGGGTTTTTACCCATAAGATTATGTTTTGGAGTGAAACCTCGTGTTTTTACACTTATTTACATTATCATTGATAATTGTATTTAATATTTTAGTCGTGAATTTAGAAACACTGCTCTGAGTGAGGAGTTACTATGATAAGGCAAAGTAAAGTTTGTTTAGGATAACGACAAGGGGATGTAACGTGATCTGCGTAAGATAAACATGGAATTAACATAATGGATGGATTACTGATAGATAGGCCTCAGTTGTAGTGACACACAAAGATGTAGGTTGTAATACAACCACAGAGAGACACACACATGCTTAATAACTACAGAAGGATGCAAATGACTAAAGAGAGGCTACAGAACATGAAGAGACAGAAAAGGACTAGAAAGATGCACAACATGTCCAGAAAATGTTAAACGGTCGATTCAAAATTCCACTACAGTGCAAGATAATATCAAAATCTGTGAATGAGTTAAGTAAAGGCAGTGGGGAACGTTTCCTCCACATACATGCCTCTGTGTTTAGTGCAGTTCAGCAAACCTACTTTTTCTTACTGGCTTTCATATGTTCAGTATGATCGTGAACTTGCATCCTCCAGTGTAGGTCGTTCTATAGTATTGTACTTGTCTTTGTTGTGTTAAGCTCTCTTTCCTTTGTTTTATTGGAGTTTAATTATCGCTCTAATTTCACTTCAGAGCTGCTCTGTCCTTTCGTTCCAACACTTCCTTGTGCTGTTGACTCTGTATCAACACACATATAACCAGTATAAAAAATGACAACGTTAATGTAATATTATCAGATTTAGAATTTTTTAAATCCTAATGTGATTCACAACCTTTAATCCTCTTTTAACTATTCTTCTATCGCTCTATGAGCAATGATAAGTTTAACTGGAGGAACTTTTCCTTGATTTGTTGAATGCACCTACTCAAAGTGTATATTTTGACCTAAGTGCAGTTTATAGTGTATATCTCTATTGTTTCAGAGAGATGTTGCTGCTGGTGTTGGGAGCCCTCCTCCTGCTCTTCTGTACTCTGGATGTATGGTACTTCCTGCGCGGGGTCCAGGTCTTTGTCCAGTCGTGGTTCCAGCCCAGGATATGGGACATTCTAGCAGAGCAAAGCATCGATGGCATGGTCCTTCCCCATGACTTGGACTACATGGGCCACATGAACAACTCTCGATACCTGAGGGAGTGTGACTTTGCTCGCTTTCACCATTACATGCGAAACGGGCTGTTCATGGCCTCATGCAGGATGGGGGCCAAAATGGTGGTAGGGGCTTCCACCATCCGATACCGGCGCTCATTGGCCTTCCGTGAGGCTTTTGAGATTCGGACCAAAGTAGTGGGATGGGACGAGAAGGCCTTTTACTTGGAGCAGCGCTTTGTGTCCAAGAAAGATGGCTTTGTATCTGCAATCATGCTCTGCAGGCAGAATGTGGTGCGCTGCAGCCCAGAGAGCATTATAGAATTTGTATGCAAAAGGAAGGTGAGTAATGGTATTTATCAGTAAAGCTGTAGTCCTGCAACTAACAATCTTTTTCTTTATTAAATAGTTTTGTTGGTCTTTTACAGAAGTTTTCAAAATGGAGAGTAGGGCTTCATAAAAGTTTTGTTTGTGTTTGTTTGGGTGTGTTTGTGTGTGTGTGTGTGTGCAGATCGAGTGTCCCGAGTTTCCAGAGGACCTCAAACACTGGATCAGCTTCATTACAGCCAGCAGCCAGGCCCTGAGAGCAGAGAGCGGACTGGAGGAGAAGAACAAGTGAAGCCACACCATGACACCATCATGCATCATGAGTGTAGACACATATCATTTGCATTGCACGCACATATACAGTATACATCCATACACACATGCACACAAACAGTTAAACATCATAGACAGTTTTACTTGACTTATAAGATTCCACTGATGTGTTCTGGGTCAATCCTACCTGCTGTGTATTTTTGTAGGAAGTGAACTGAACATAAAACTGCTGAAAATGAAAACTTGAACTGTAGGTTTTACATGTTTTAAAATGCACGTATGCACTGGGATCATAATTGATGTTTCTCTCTTACAAAAGAGAAACAACAGCTTTATCCTTGCAGCTTATTGAGTAGTGGACCGTGAGTAGACTGGCTTTAGAAATCTTCATTCTCATTTAGCAAACTCCTCTAACGTCAGATAAAGCATGTAGAGCAAAAGTTAATCTTCACTGACATAGATGCATGTTTCAAACAACCAGAAGATATTTTTTGTGCCTGTTCCTCTCCATTGGTTGTAGTCTGCAGTTATGATTTCAGAAAATTATAACTTTTTAGGAAAAACATACAGTATGCGTAATGAAATGCTTGAATAGACATCATGTAACAGGAACTAGTTTTAATCTTCCCATCAGCATCAGCACTTTGCACAAGATAACACAAGTGAGTAAACAACCTGGCTCTTTCCGTGTCAAATCATCAACCCTTTGGGCCGATCACAGAAACGTATGGAAATCAAAATTTTAGTGTAATTAAATTAAGAAACTGTGGTGTTCACTTCACAATGTACATTTAGGCTTAAAACATGGTGTAATTGTCGTTTCGAGTCGAAATTGAATGTCGGGGGTTACGGACCCTTTGATGACACTCACTTCATCCAGCCCTCCATCAGCATACTGGTGAGTAGAAAGAGTGAATTTTTGGGTGAACTATCCCTTTAAGTCATATCTCCTTTAATATAGTTCACAGGTTTGGTTCTCATGTCCACAATATAAAGACTAGCAGCATTATGAGTGATTATAACAATTAAAGTTGAATTATACAAAAACATATAATGAAATCAAGACCTCCAGAAAGATGGATTTTAAGCTGTTGCAGAGACATTATTACTTTTCTGAAGTTGCATCTCATTTCTAACTCCAAAAAGTTTGATGATTTGACACGGAATGACCCAACTGTACTTCTGAGGAAAACGTGAGAGGGAATCTTGTTTTATTTTTGTTTTGTTTGAGGGATCATTTATTCAGTTCACTTTTGTTCCTTGACCAAATTTGTAATCCATGCATTTAAAGGACGGGATTCTTGATTTTGAGTTTTGTTTGATTTCAGGAGAACGTGGTTGATCCAGACTGACATGCTCGATAAACAAATGTTGATATTGTATGAGGTTGCTGCCAACATTTCCAAACCTGCGACGCACAATTAACACTGAATGTTTGGATGATGCTTGGTTTTTATTGAGGCAGCCTTTTTGAAATCTGGAACCTTTCCCTTGAATTCATCCAAGCTTTAGTTTTTGACCAAAGTAATGTATTGTTCTGTTTGAAGAGGAAACTGAATTCATTTTTAAAGATGCACTGTCTAAGCTTTTATTTATGTTGCTAATGCACAATACTCATATTTAATTCCTTTAAGTTTGAACATGTGTGTTGTCCTTTTTGTTTTCCATTCATCATTATTTATAATTTACTGAAATGGATACACTGTACCAGAATACATTTATTGTGTTTGTCAATTATTTAATAGCATTTTTAATAAAAAATGCATTGGAAACTGTTTTACTGTGTGAGTTTGCTTTATTATGGGTGCCTTGCCAGCTGGGGGCTCCGCCCCCAGCTGCCAATGCATTGCATGGGGCGAAGCCCCATGCAATGCATTGGCACTTATATTATTATTCCTCGAACATTCCAGGTTTATTTTTCTTTTTCTTCTTCCGTGTTTTTTTTGTCCCGCTACTCCTCCCACAGATTTCGTCGCACATACTCGAGACCTATAAAAAAACATGCGGAAATACGTCGAATCCTGTGCTATGACTTTTCTAAGAAT